GATTATTTTTTAGGCCTTTAAATAATAAAGCTAAAAAAAAGTTTTTTAAAGCTAGAAGAGGCTAACGCTTTAATTTAATAAAAAGTTAAAATTTTAACTTAAAAAGTATAACTTTAAAAAAATTTTAAAGCTTTTTACTAGCACCTAAAATATATTAGTAATAAAATACTTAAGTATTTTTTTATAATAATATAAAAAATTAGTATTTTTAATTTTTAACTACCTAAGCACTGTAATACTTACCGGGTTAGTTAGGCTTTTTAATAAATATTTAAATAGCTTAAAAAATTAATTACTAAGCTATTTATTTATATTTATACTAATCTTATTTTTATAAAGCTAGTAATAAATAAAAATTAATAGGTAACTTATTTTTATAATAAATTTTTTAAAATATACTAGGCCTATACTTACTAGCTTAAAAATAATTATAAAAATATTATTAAGTAATTTATATAATTTATATAAAACCACCATGAAGTTACTCCTAAATTCTTATTTAATAATAATAAACTTACTTTTAGTAATAATATTTTTAACTTTGCTACCTTTAAAGGCATTTTTTAAAACTAGTTTACTTTATACTTTTTATTTTAAAATAGTATAGCCAAGCGCTCTAAAGGTATTTTAATTTAAAAAGCTAAAATAATAGCTTTATATAAAAATATTTACTTAATATATAGTCCTAGGTTATAAAAGTAGTGGCTTATATTAATAATTAAATTTTTATTAAAATTATTAATTAAATAACTTTATAAAAAAAACTTACTAGTAAAAAGCCTTATATTTTAAATATTTAAATTATTAGGTGTTTTTCCTGGGTAAAAAAATCCTGGGAAAAAGACCTTTATAAAATAAAGCTAAGGGCCTTATTTAAATATTTTATAAGCTATTAAGCCTTAAATATTTAGTAAATTTAGTTTTCTTAAAATTAGCATGTTAAAGCTTATAAAAATATTATTTTTAATAAATCCTGGCTTTATAATTTATAAAAACTATTTTTTATTATTAATATTTAAATTAATTCTTTTAAATTATTAATTAAGGTTTTTAAACTGCCCTCTTGCCACTGTATTACTAAAAATATAAATTTAAATTTAAACTTTACTAAATTTTTTTTTAAAAAAAAATAAGGGTATTTTAACAACAAGCAAGCCAAGGATGGTAAAAATATTTAAAAATAAAAGTATTAAAAAAAATAAAAATAAAAAAAAATTTAGGTATAAAATTATACCTAGGCCTAATTTTAATAAAATTAAGGCCTTTAATTTATTAAAAGGCTTACTACCTTTTTTTACTTTAAACCCTACTTTAAAACCTTACTATTATAAAATTTTTATATAAAAATTAATATTAGCTAGTTTTTTTAATAAGTTATTATAGCCTTTATAATAGGTTACATGCTTTTAAACTTAAAAAAATTTATTTTTAAACCTAGCTAATTAATAATTATTATAAAAAGTAAAGTAAGCCCGCTTCTAAACTCCTATTTATTTTATTATTAAAAATATAAAAAAGGTAAAAAACTAAAAATTAAACCTATTATTTTTTTTAAATAGTTAATTAAATAAAGGCTAGCACCTTAAAATAATTAAAAAAACTTTAAATTTTATTTAGGTACTTTAACAAGCTATATAAGCTATATTATTATTATAATTATTTTTAATTTTACTTTTTATAACTATATATAATTTACCTTTTTTACTTTTTATTAAAACCCTAAAAAAATACTTTTATTAAAATAAATTACCGCCTTTTTCCAAGTACTAAAAAAATCTTAAAAATTATTTACTTAAAAATATGTTTTTTAAAACTATTAATCTTAAATTAAATAAACTTAAAAAAATAGAAGCATAAAAGGTAATTAATAAATAAAAAGTAGGTTTAAATAAGCTAATTTTTTTATTATAAGTATTTATATATAAGTTTAATATAAATAGTTACTTTTTTAAGGCTAAAGCTTAAATTTATATATATAAAAATTTTAAACTAGTTAATTATAAAAATAATTAAGTAGTTATAGCCTTTACTTATTTTTTTTAAGTTATTATAATACTTATTACCTTTTTTAATATAAATATAAGATAATATAATATTATTAATACTTTTTTAATATAAGCCTTAATAAACTTATATACCTTTAATTTTTAAATAGCTATAAGTAAAAAAAAAAGCTTTTAAAAGTTTTTAAAGCTATTTATAGCCTTAAAAAGTTTTTTTTATTTTTAATAACTTAATTTAGCTATTATTTTATATAAATTTAGCTTTACTATAATACCCGAAGAAAAATACCTTTTTATTAATAAGTTAATAATTTTTTTAGTATATATAAATAATTTTATTTTTATAAACTTTTTTTTAAGTAAGGCTGCTTTATAATAGCTACTTTTAAAAAAAAATTTTTAGTAAAATATAAGCTTTAGCATTTTAATAAAGCTAAATAATTTTTAAAAGTTTAAATTCTTTAAAATAGGCCTTAGCGCAAGCTCTAACTTTTTTAAGATTTTTATATTAAAATTATTATAAATTAATTTTACTTAAATATTATAATTTAATTATTTTTTACCCTGCTCCTGTTACCTAGCAAGCTTTATTTAAATTTTAATATAGTTATTTTTAAAAATATTAAAAAAATAAGGTTAAAAATTAAATTTATTAAATATACTAGTACCCTTACTTATTTAAATATTTTTTATATAATAAGCTATTTATTAAAATATTTTATTAATTTTATAAATTATTATTAACACGTAGTAAATTAACTTATTTTTTATTTTTATAATACATGTTTTTTTACTTTTAAATACTCTAGTTTAAATAGCTTTAAAAATAAGATTTTTATTAAAAAATATAAAATCTATAAGTTATACTTTAATATAATATTTATAAATTATTTTAATTAATTTTTTAATATAGGCTATATTTATAAGTTATATAAAGGTTTAATTAAATAAAAGGTTATAAAGCAGCACTTTATTACTATTTTTATTATTAAGGTAAAGTTACTTACTTTTATTAAGGCCTTTAAAGTAATATACTAGTAATAAAAAGTTTTTAAAATTATATAATTTAATTTTTAATACTAACTTTTAATTTAATATAATAATAAATAAATAATTAATATTTTTATTAATATTAATATATAACTTTGCTTAAAGCTTTACTATATTAATATTTATAATTTATAGCTTAGGCAGGAAGTTTAGTATAAAAATTTTTATATTAAATAAACCCTTATTAACTAAATAATTATAAATAACTTTATAAAGGCGCTTATTAAATAATAATACTAAAAATTTATTAAAATACTAGGTTTAGTAAATATTTTTAGCCTTATTTTTAATTAATTTAAAAGTAAGTAAGTGTTAAGGGGGCGTGTTAGCTAATAATAAAAATTATTTAATTTAATAAAAAAGTATTATAGTGCTTTAATAACGCTTAAGTATTTTAAGTAATTTTAATTAAAATATTATAATACTTATTATTAAATTACTTGCCTGTATAACTATAATATTTATAATTTTTTAAATATTATAAAGTATTAGTAAAAGTATTTAAAATTCTTATTATTTTTAGGAGCTTAAATTATTTATATAAACCCTAGTTAGCTCCAGCTTTTAAATATCATCGCGTTCCTTATTTAATTCTCTAATATTTATATAATTAACAGCTTTCGTTTGCACGGTATTCAAAGGGCCTTATACTGATTCACTTATATCAAGCCATCAAGGTCCGACGGATAGCTTAAATATCTATATTTTCATCTCGCCCTCTATCTCTAACCCCGTCTTTATTTTCCCCCACAACTTCCTCGAATCACACAAAGCGCAGGAACACCTTGGAAAGATTTAGATTTGGGCCGTTGCTTTCATAGGTAAGTAGACGGCAGAAAGGCTACAAGCGCCTGGACCACAAGCCAAAGCCGCCCCGTCTTTCCTCCTATAGCTCCCTGTCAAGATCCCCCTCATCATCTTCTCACACCTCCCCTTATATCCCAGGCCAGCCTAGCTCTCACATGCTAGCCGCTCTGCAGTATATTCCATTCTACTCTCCAAGACCAACGACTATCTTGGCTGAGACTACTGTCAAGCACATCATACCTACTTGACCCGTTCAACAGCAATCCCCAGGCCCTGCAAAACCAAGTCAGCTGAAGCTCCAGGACAAAAGATGGATCTACTGCGGTGGCTGCCTCAAACCTCACGGCAAACAATTTTTCTGGCAAGGCAGCCAGCTTATACCCGCAGAGACTCGGCGCTGAAATGACGTTACGCACATTGCTGATCTATGTGCCGGGCTTGCCTGGCGACGTGGTCGGGGACGGGGGATACCCAGAAGCTCAAGCTCAAGCTCAAGCTCAAGCTCAAGCTCTGTCGGCGCATTCCAAATGCATTTGGATTGTCAAGTCATCGAAGAAGAAGGAGAAGGAGGAGGGAACCGTGTCCTGCTCCACAAGTGCACCATCAGAACCCAACCGGCCTAGAACGAAGCTCACAATCGATGCAGAGAGCTGCCCAACAGCCACGAAGAGACCGGTACGGGGTCCGCGCCCGACATCGACATCGAGCCCGAGTCTACACGCGCCAGAGCCATCTGTAGAATCTGCAAGACAAGATACTACCTCAAACCTAGGGCGCACGCCCGGCAGCCCGCGCCGGATCCATGGGAGGAGAATGCGGCACTCCAGTATATGTGGCGGGATAGTTCCCGACACGGCCGTGACGCGTTTCGGAGGCAATGGTATCGCAGAGCCGACGATGACCCTTCACAGGAGTATTCGGTCGATAGAGCGTGAGATGAACATATCCGTAGGCAGAGGTCAAGGCATATGGAAGTCAGGGCCAGATGAAGCCCCGGTATTTGTGTACACCCGGTTACATTCACGGTCCTTGATGCCTTGTACTCCAGTAGCATTTGAAAATGTCTGGTCATTATATGTGGACTACCCAGGATATACACAAAGGCTGTCTCCATCTCCAAAGGACCATATTCTATCTCTATTACACCCCCTCCCTTAAAAACGTCAGCGCCGCCACACACAACGCCTCAACCCCAGCTTTCAGTGTCGGCTGGATAACAGGCGCAAAGCGCGCACTATGATTCCCCGGGATCTCCCCCGTGCTCCCATTGCTAACCGCCCCATCCCACGTTTCCTGATCAATCCCCCCCAGGAACCAAAAGCAGCAGGGTATACCCCTACCCGTGGCAAGGACACTAAAGTCCTCAGCAACCATCGTCCGCTCCGTATCCGGCTCGAAATCCGGCCCAAAATGGTCTCCAAACGAAACGGCCAGTTTATCAGCCACATCATGGGTATTAAACGTCGGTGGAAAGCGGCGCGTGGGCGTGAATATCGGCTCCCGCGGTGATCCCGACGCAAGGCACTCAGCCCTCACAATGCGCTCCACGGCAGCAACAATAGCGTCCCTGGTCTCAACACGCACAGAGCGGAAATCAATCCCAATCTCCGCCTTATCCGCAATGACATTCTCCGTCTGCCCCGCGACAAGAGATCCCACCGTAAGAACGCCCACATCATCGGGGTTGATCTCCCGACTCACAACGCCCTGCAGGCGGACCACAATATGCGCGGCAAGTAAAACCGGGTCAACAGTCGTATGCGGTAAACTCCCGTGCCCGCCGCGCCCGAAGACCGTGATGCGCATGCTATCCGCCGCCGCCATGATCGTCCCTCTTTTCGAATGGATGCTCCCGCCCCGGAGACGCATGACGTGCTGGCCTAGACAGATGTCCGGCAGAGGGATTTTGTTGTACAGGCCGTCGGCGAGCATGGACGCAGCGCCGTGGCCGCGTTCCTCGTTTGGTTGGAACAGCGCAATTAGGGTTCCAGACCACCTCTTTCTTATTTCCGGTGACGAAAGAAGCTCGGACGCTGCGAGGAGCGCCGTGATATGCATATCATGTCCGCAGGCGTGCATGACCGGTTTGATTGCGCCGTCTGCGTCTGCCATAGTCACCGTGCTGGCGTAGGGGAGGCCCGTCTCTTCTTTTACGGGGAGGGCGTCCATGTCCGCGCGGAGGAGGACGGTTTTGCCGGGCCCGTTTTTCAGGACGGCGGTTAGGCCGTAGCCGCCGATGTTGGTGGTGATTTCGAAGGCATTGAGGGAGGCGAGGTGGGATGCGATTTTCTCAGAGGTGTTCTTTTCTTGGCAGGAGAGTTCGGGGTTGGCGTGGAAGTGTTTGTAGAGGGACTCGTAGGGGGTTAGGTCCAGAGGAGAGGAGTTGAGGATATCGGTAATGGATGTTTGGGACATGGTGAGGTTGAAGATGAGGATTGTTTTCCCCGCGGGAAACGTTGCTTTAAGTGCAGCTGCAGAGTGGGGCGATGGAGACGTACGGGCGTATACGGGCGTTTACGGTTTACGAGCATGTTAAGATGAGTCACTTATAGGTGGCATAAGCATAACTTGGGTATAATGATGTACATGCTCTGACCCGCCGGCTATGTCGCAACATCCCTCTCCACCACATTCACTCCCTTCATCTTGATCTTCCACCGCTCTGCCCGGAACTCCACCACCAACGTCAGCTGCTCCCGCGGAAACAGCGTGATGTAGTTGTCTGACCAAAAGACCGGACGGATCTCCTCGCCGTTGTCGTGGACCGTCAGCCGGACAAAGAATGCCGGGACTTTGACCAGATTCTGGAGGCGGATCTCGAGCTTGGTCATGGTCGGGTCTGGATGGGCGACAGGTCGAACGACAGCAAGAACCGCAGCAGGGGCGAGTCGGCCAGGGCCCAACGCTGTGAAATCCGCATATCGTTTGGTTGGAGTATGGTACCAAGTCGAGTTCTCCCAATTCAAACTGTCCATGCGGCCATTCACCCAGTACACGTTCCGACTGAGGGTGACATTAGAGTTGCAGTCCGTAGACAGGACCAGCCGTAGAAAAGCAGGCTTTGCTAATTGCAAGATCTTAGCCAGTGAGAAGACCTCCTTGGCGCTGGTCGGCGTGGCATCGACTGCCTCTTGATGATGCAGCAGCGTCTTCCCGTCAGTATCGACCAGGTCCGCCGAAACGAGGTAGCACCCCGGGGAGAGCGAATGATTGACGACGCGAACACTGGTCGAACCATAGTCAAAAACGACATTCTGCAGTCGCGCGCCGGCCTTGGCCCCGTAGTACGCTCCCATCGGGAGGAGGTAGTAGTCGAAGAGCTGCCAGTGCAGACTCGGCCATGCGCTGTTGAGCATCCAGTAAACGACCCCGGTCGCTTCGCGCGCGGCAAACGCCTCAAACTGCGCTCGCGTTGCTTCATAGTCCATGAGCTGACACTTGAATACGTAGTCCTCCAGGCTGTTTGGGCTCCCGTACCGACTCTTTAGAGCCTTGTTGTGAATCTGTCGGTAGTGAAAAACGCTGTCCTTGGGCGCTTGATGGTATTGTCCGTCGTTCGGTTTCTTCCACAGTCGATCTAGGTCCTGATCGGAAAGGAAGCGCTTGAGACTACTCAGCTCTGGTGTTCCGGAGCCAGCGCTTACTTCGGATGCAAAGCCAAATGCCGCACCGAGTCTGTCTCCCCACCAATAAATCGGGGGAACCCAGTCGTAAGGACCTTCCATCTTCATTCCGGACGGGGCCAGTTGGGACGGATGACCGCGTTTGCTCGCGGAAGCAATGACGGGATTCGGCCAATCCATGCGTTGGAGGGCGGCCAGGTACGCTGTAGTCGCTCGTTCGTCAGGCCAGTAGTCGGAGCCAAGTAGGAAGCCAAGCAGGCATGGATGGGTCTGCATCATTCCCGCCTCGTGCAGCATGGACGCCTCTGCAATCGCGTAGTCTTCATCTCGCCACACCTCGACCCCTTGAACGTCGTGATTGTACTCCCATCCCTCCCACTTGTCACAGCACATCCACCCCGCCATTACCATGAGGCCCATGCGATCCGCCAGCTCGTACAGTTCTGGGTGTTCTTGTTTCCCTTCGAGGCGAATCGTATTGAGCCCGATGTCGAGTGCGTATCGAAAGATGGTTTCAAGCCGCCGCACATCAAAACGTAGGAAGATATCGGGCGCATAGCCGGCACCGCGGACCTGAAAGATTCGACCGTTGACAGCGAACTCGCCGTCGCCGTTGGCATTATGCTTGTATTCGACGCTGCGAATTCCGAACGTGGCATGGGCAGAATCCGACACGGTATTCAGGAGCGTCGCATCCAGAAAGACCTCGTAGAGTGGTTGCGGACCCCAAGCAGCCGGCCACCAGATTTGCACTTGCGAGCCTGACAGAGTGGCCTCGAGTGTGAGGGTATAAGTGGAGTGCGCCATCAATTGCATCTGTTGGGAGAGCTGGATCTCCAACCCGCCGGGTATCACGAGTGTCCCATTTATGACCGCGTCACGAGGCGCATTTCCATGATTCTTCACATCAGTACAGATCGTGACCACGACGGAGCTCTGCGGACTGGTTCGGCCACGGTCATACGTGTGCGTTACTCGAAGCGGAGAGAGGGATACAGGCCCGGTTATCTCCAGCTCGACGGTGCGCCATACTCCCATGCCTGAGTCCGGAGGAGCAGGGTTCCAGTCGGCGAACGAGATGGCCAGGTCTTTGCCGGTGTCGGTGGGATAAGCTTGGATGAGAAGGCAGTTGATGCCGGAACGAGCAGCGGAGGTCACATCGTAAGAGCGACCGGCATAAACACCTTTCTGGATATCGCTGAAAACAACCTGCACGCCATTGAGGAAGACGTCGGCTTTCGAGCTCACTCCGTGAAGATTGAGTTGAACGTGCTGGTCGGAGCTGAGAGCGGGCAGCGAGAATTGCTCGCGATAGAGCCAAGGGACATGGAATTCTGATTTATTGACCGTTGAGAGAGCGTCTGAGGCAAAGAGGGCTGTTTCGTTGTAAGGGTGGTCGACGCTGTCGACGAGTCCGCCCAGCACTGTCGCTCTTGCTCCAATGCGCGACCACTTGGAGACATCGGCGTTGGCGACAGACCACTGCGCGATCGAGCCCTGGACGGCATCAGAGCTAAGGATATGCCATCCACCGATAAGAATACGAGTTTGGGCCATGGCCGTCAGGAAGAACATAAAGATAATGATGATAAGATGCATGTTGGAGTTGGTGAGGGAGATGAAGGCCGTGAAGTGTTGAGGTCAGCCTGCTGCGAGGAAGGCGCGATGCGGAGGCTGTTCCTGCTGTGCAACCGACCTGCATCCTAGGTATCCCAATGGACATGCTCTTTAGCTTCCCCGTCCTTATAATATTCAGGCCATGGTCAACTCAACACCAGCAGTCAGATTGCGCGGGTGGGGCTTCCGTGCTTGTTGTGGCTCATCGAGCGCCAGGGGCCAATTCGGGCCTTAGATTCGCAGCGCCATGATCAGACAAGTTCCAAGACTCAACCAACTTGATGGCGATGGCGGTGACGAACCATGTGGAATTCAGAGTTCCCGGTCCAACATTCCTACCGTATCGCCGGAATGCCTGACATCAACAATGGTCTCGCGATGAAAGTCGTCCCACCCCTTGATTAATCTTTCCCTCCGACAACCCCCATCGCATCCTCTCGGCTCACTGCAGCATGAAGATATCATGGAATCTACTCCTCTTTTTGCTGAATTCCGTCCAGGCGATTGAACTGGACTTAGATGATACCGGTAAGTCCTTCCGGCACCACGTGGGCGACTCCTAATCCCATCGGCCACAGCCTCCGTCAAAAAAGCTTGCCGTGACATCGCGAGCAATATACTTAGGCATTATACCGGGTACAAACCCGGCGACGTACCCGGCAACTTGCCTGACCCGTACTACTGGTGGGAAGCGGGAGCGATGTTCGGCGCATTGGTCGACTACTGGTTCTACACCGGCGATACGCAGTGGAACAATATCACGAGCCAAGCGATTCGGTGGCAGGCCGGAGACTCCGGGTCGTTCATGCCGGCAAATCAGACGAGGACGGAGGGGAACGACGATCAGGGATTTTGGGCGTTTGCTGCTATGGCTGCCGCGGAGAGGAACTTTCCTATGCACCGCGGCGAAGGGCCGGATTGGTTGGCGATGGCGCAGGCAACATTCAATACGCAGGCGTGGAGATGGGATAATGAGAACTGTGGAGGGGGGTTGCGGTGGCAGATCTTTACGTGGAATGCGGGTGCGTGCAACTCCACGTCCCTCTCAGATTGTGCTGGGCTGACTGAACGATTGGCGCATAGGGTACATGTACAAAAACACCATCTCCAACGGCTGCTTCTTCAATCTTGCTGCGCGACTCGCACGATATACCGGAAACCAGACATACGCCGACTGGGCAGAGCGAATCTGGGACTGGACGGAGGACGTCGGATTCGTGACGAACGATTACCTCTTCTTCGACGGCGCCAGCGTGGACGGGAACTGCACTAAATACGACCACGTCCAGTGGACATATAACGCCGGCGTATACCTTCTGGGTGCAGCGGCTATGTATAACTTTGTATGCCCTCCTGTTTTCCCTAGCACTTTAAAGTACTAACAAGGCGGTGGTGCGGCAGACGGACGGCGACCCTATCTGGAAGCAGCGGACAGAAGGCATAATCAAATCGACAAACATTTTCTTCAACAACGACGTAATGTACGAGCGCGCCTGCGAGCCCGTCGGGACATGCAAGGTCGACCAACGCCCGTTCAAGGGCTTCTTGGCGCGTTGGATGGCTGCCTCAACCCAGTTCGCGCCTTTCGCGTACGACCTCGTAATCTCAAAGCTCAGATCCTCCGCGCTTGCCGCAGGAAAGACATGCACCGGTGGCCGAGACCGCGCTGAATGCTCGTTGAAATGGACGGAACAAAAGTACACTGGTGGACCGGAGGGCGGCGATGTAGGGATCCAGATGGCGGCGTTGGAGGTTATCCAGTCGACGCTCATCAAGAAAGTTGAGCCGCCTGTCACTCAAGAAGACGGCGGACGGAGTAAGGGCGATCCGGCCGGTGGTTCGGAACCTCCACTTCCTACGCCGAGTTTGTTGGTCAGGGATATCACGGCTGGAGATCGAGCGGGTGCGGCGTTGGTGACAGTTTTCCTAGCAGGCGTAATGGCTTGGAGTGTGAAATGGGTCGTTCTCGATCCTACCACTTGACCAATGGATGTCATGCTGATCTTGGACCCCAAATCCTGAAACCGGAATCCGGGGTACGGTAAGAGTATCCAATGAGACTAAAAAGTGCTGGGGGAGGAGGAGTAAAGGCGGGGGTTTCTTGGGCCAGTGAGGGGATTGCGGAGAGCCGAGGGTCTGTGATAATTGTATAGCCGGTCTATATGTGCCACAAAGAATGAAATATATTCTCACCTCAGCCCATCCAGACTGTCGTTCTCAGCAAGTCTTCAGACCTGAAGTACAGAGAGCAGGATGGGTTCCACCACCACCTTCGAAATCCCGAGAACATGCAAAGCCGGGGTTATCTACAACCCCGGGCCAAACTTCGAAGTCAAAGTCGAAGATGTTCTTGTTCCGGAGCCAGGTACGTCCCCTGGCTTGCCTCTATCCTCAACTCCAGAGCTAAAGTCGCGTGTTTGGGGTACAGGCCCCGACGACATCCTAGTAAAGCTCAATGTAACCGGACTCTGCCAAAGCGACGTCCACTACATGCTCGACGACATCGGCATGTCCATGGCACAGTTCGGCGTGCGCTCACCAGGCCACGAAGGTGCAGGTATCGTAGTCAAAGTCGGAGAGAACGTCAAGAACTTCAAGCTTGGTGACCGCGCGGGTATCAAGCCGATTATGGATTCGTGCGGGACGTGTCCTAGTTGCTGGAGTGACAAGGAGACGTATTGTCCGGGGGTCGTGCATACGGGGTTGATGGTTCCGGGTGGGTATATCCCAGCAACGCAAGGGCGGAGTTAATCTTGCTTAGGGACGTATCAGCAGTACATCGTCTCGCCGGCACGGTATGCAACACCGATACCGGATGGAATCCCTGATGAGATCGCGGCGCCGGTCATGTGCAGTGCTTCGACGATCTATCGGTCGCTTGTTGAGTCGCGGTTGCAGCCGGGCGATTGGGCTGTCTTTCCTGATGGCGGAGTATGCCGTTCGTATAGTTCCTTCATTCGATTCATTTTTGACACGTTCAGGGCGGCGTCGGCATCCAAGGCGTCCAACTCGCTTCCGCAATGGGCATGCGCCCAATTGTCGTCGACACCGGCGAGGAGAAACGGGCTCTCGCGCTGAAGATGGGCGCGGAGGCTTTTGTCGACTTCAAGACCGTCCCCGACGCCACCGCAGCCGTGATAGAGGCTGCAGACGGGATAGGTGTGCATGGTGTCTTTGTAACGGCACATGCCGCATATCCAAACGCTCTCAGCTACCTCGGAACTCGAGCTGGGGGCACCGTGATGTGTATCGGTATTGCTCCGGCGGGGACAATCCAGATCCCCGTTGATCCCAATTTGATGATTCTTCGAAACACCAGGATCCAAGGCACGCTGGTAGGCAGTCGGCATGATACGATCAAGGCGTTGGATTTTGCTCGGAGGGGAAAGCTGAGGCAGATTTGTGAGGTGTGGCCCATTGAGCGCTTGCCAGAGGCGGTTGATAGACTGCGAAAGGGCTTGGTGGCGGGGAGGATGGTTGTGGATTTCAATCAGTAGTTCTTTGAATTCCGATTCTGTTCTGTGTAGTTCAATGCGACCCGTTCCTATGGTTGGTTTAGTGAAAAAGATTGTAGGGTCATCTCGTGGGTTGTAACACAGGTATGTTGTTGGTGACTGTATATTTTGTGGTAGAGGATCCGATTTTGATACGAAAACCCAACAGCTACGCCGGTCCTCAATGATCCGCGCAGCTTAAAGAAGACCAGGTAGAGAAGACTAGATAATAACAAAGAGCATAGTTAATAAAGGACAATGAATCAAGACGAGATGATGGCTAGGAAGTGAAGCTTTAAGAGAAGAGAAGACCAAGGATGAAGACTTGGCGTTCCCGCCGAGATCGCAGCCGTGGCACGTGATGTCACTGGGCCGCCGATCTTCTCCGCGCTGGATTGGGGTCCCTGTTCGGAGAGGTTCAGCGGGTTCCGAGCGAGGCTTAAAAAGGGGTGGTTAAAATTCTAAGCCTTGGCTGGTTTTAATTTTTTAAGCCTTGGTGGGATTAAAATAAAAGCTAAGCTTAATTTTTAAAATTTTTAAACCTTACTTAGCTTATTTTATTACTTAACTTATTTTTATACTATATTATTTAAATATAATTTATATAAAAGCTTAAATTAATATTATTACATGCTTTATATAGCTATAAAAAATATTATTATAATTATAAATTACTACCTAGTGTAAGAAACTACTAAAAAAAATTAATAAAATTTAAATTTTTTATTATTAAAAAAAGCCTATATAGCAACCCTAGTATTAAAGCTAAATATATTTTTATTATATTTATAATATTAAGTTTTTTTTTTTTTAACTCTTTTACTTTTTATTTTAAACTTTTTTTTTTTTTTTTTTTACTTAATCTCTGCACCTTTTTTACTTATATTTAGTATTTACTTAGTATATATAATATAGCAAAGTAACTTTAACCTACTTATTTTTTTTATTAATTAGCACTTAACCAAGTTTAATTTTATAATTAATATAGTTTTAAATATTACTAACCTTTTAAAATAGGGCCTTTACTATAATAAGCTTAATTTTTATATATATTAAGTATATTTATTAACTATTTATTATTTTTATTAGGTATTTATACCAAGGCTAAAAACCTAACTTACCTTTTAAAATTTTATAATTATATGTTTATTTACCCTATATATTATTTATATACTTTATATATACTAATAATAATAACTACTAGGCTTAAATTAGCAAAAGCAAAGCTTATAAAAAAGTTTATATTTTAAAATTTTTATATTAGCGCCATATTTAAAAACATGTTATTAAAAGTATATTATAATTATACTAAGTATATATAGTATATATACTAATATTAATTATAGTTATCCCTTTTAACTATATAAATATTAAGGCTAAAAAGCGTGATACCAAAAAAAAGTAAGTATTATTTAAATATTTTTTATATATGCTTACCATATATAGTGCTTTAAAATAATTTATTTTTAAGTATAAATAATTTAATACCAAGTTTAGCAATAAGCCTAGCCGCGGTTTAAAAAATAGTCTTATTAATTAATATACCATTATTTATAAGTATATTATATAAATATTTTTTGCACATGCTTTACTTATACTTAATATATATATAAAGCTTATAACTTTAAGTTTATTAAATATTTTAGCACTTATTTTTATTACTAGGCCAAGCTTTTAAACATGGTATCCCCTTGTAAAAAATACTTTATAAAATTACTTTTAGCTTATACTTTACTTATGCTAACTATATATATAGCATGGTTTTAATACTATACTTAAGGCGCCCTTAATACCTACTAAATAGTAATATTATAAATAAATTATAGATAATAGCGCCCCTGGCTTTTTTAAGGCTAAATATAAATACCTAATACCTTACTTATATATATTATATACTAACTACTAGTAGTGCAGGCTGCCCGCGCTAAAAAAAAGTTTAATAAAACTAATAATAAAAAAAAAATAAAAAAAATAAAGTGTAATATATATACCTTGTATATGCAAAGCATATTTTTTCTTACTTTATACTTTTTATTTCTTATTTTTAAGTTTAGTGTCCACTGGCCCAACTTTTATTAATAATATATACTAAGTATATACTTTATATTTATATTATTTTTCCTGTACTTAGGTTTTTTATTAACTTAACTTAAAGTTAAGTAATAAGCCCCTTATAAATAAACTATATAAGCCTTAATAATAGTATAACTTAATACTAATATATAACCTAGGTAAATAATAAAGTGGTATATTTTTTATTAAAGGTTTATGGTTTAAATCATAGCATAGGAATTTTTTATTTATAATATTATAATAATAAGTTATATTATATAATAATTTTATATTTTTTAAATAAAATTAATATTAATTTATTCTTATTTTAATATTAATTTTAAGCCTATAAGCTAG